CAACAGCCAGGTTAACAGACAGGAGTAAATGGTAGTGTCATCTACATAAATGCCTACTTGAAAACTGATGACATCAGGAAGATTAGTGATGAATATCAAAAACAGTGTAGGACCCAGGATATAACCAGCATTCGTATGAAAGGAACTAGAAGAAAACCCATCCAGGACGACCTTCATTTCACGGTTTGACAGGAAAGATTGGATGAAGTCAAATAAACGTCCTGTAATGGCGTATCCCTGAAGCTTACGTAGAAGGCCAGCATGCTCAGCACTGTCAAACGCCTTCGAGATATGTAAAGGCAAAGCTGTGCCGTTATTATCAACAACTTGATATACATTCAGTTTTAGCCGTAAGCAGGTCTGCGGTAGACCGGGCAAAGCGAAAAGCATATTGTTTGTCAGAGAGTAAGTTGTCGGAGGAAAGATTCTTAACCACTTCGGTATTCATACAAGCCTCGAAGACTTTGCCGAAGAGTGGTAGGAGACTGATAGGACGGTAGTAAGTTAAACCAGACTTCTTCAAACACGGATGACAGAGGACTTTCAACAGACTAGAAAGCAAGAATCAGCGAAGCAACTCTAGGTGAAATTAAATTACATAAAATGTTTGAACGGAGTCGTGATTAGGCTTTATCAAGCTTCTATATCATTCCAACTCCCAAATCTACACGAAACTTTCATCCCAACCGGAGCGATTTCTTTACTCTCCAAGTAGGATAAACACAGTTTAATCTGTTAGACAACAAAAACATTTTTGAATAACTAATGAGGTTCTTTGGTAAATGATCTATCCAAGTTTATTCTAATATAACCCTGGGATAAACTCTCTCTGGAAGTTACCTGTAAACCTATATAAAAGAAACGCTCAGTGGAAATTGCTTAGATGGAAGCAGAAGTCATGGGAATAAATGTCAAAATAGTCACACGGTGCGTAAATTCCTTCATGACAGTAGAAAAAGGAAACCCATGATTTGCCTGGACAAATGCAACCTCAACAGATCCATCCAAAGTCACATTAGCCTAACAGAACAATGGAAGTCACCCGTCCGAATTTAAGCGAGGCTAAGTTTTTTTTTTTTATAAAATTGAATATTCAGTGTGGGTATTGGGCTATAAAACTAACCAACTAATTCTCATACGTGACGACTTTCAACACTTCTTTCATGAGATACAGGGACATATACCTACAATTTGGGCTTAAATCAACCCAGAATGAATATCATCTAGAAATATATGATTTCTTTGAAGGAAACGCTGACATTTACTGCGTAGACAATGTCTTCGTGTATGAAAAGATTTGCATAGAACACGGCCAGTCCCTCACTAGGATCTTAGGAGGAATAAAAAAAAAACTAGGGTGAAATTCAACGAAAAGAATTTACTCGTTAAAATTTTCGACAGATAAGCATTTCAGAGTTTCACTGATCCCAGTTGGAATAAATACATCCCTTACAGAAAAGGACTCCGCCTACGAACAATACAGAACTGGGGACAATATTTAGTAACGGATACCAACCTAGCCAAATTTACACTTTATATAGCCTTCTTTCAGACAAGCAATATTGCTTTCGCTTCTCTACGTACACTGCTGATGTACTGACGATTATTGCGGAAAGAGTCTCTCAAGCTCAAGGTAAGGTTTGGTCTTTCTTATCGAATCGTGAAATAAAAGTTATCCTGAATGGCCATTCTTCTAGATCCTTCTGTACTAATGCGGATGATCGAGTGATTAAAAGAATTTATGTACGTTTTCGCTAAGTAAATTGCTTTCTATTTTAATGAAAGTAACACTTTTTAATTCAAATATATCGTCAGACTCAATACGGTGAGTAATTAACTCATCCAGTGTGTTTTGCAAAATATTCTCTTTGTGTTCATCTAACATTTTTTTTAAAACCCTTTATAAAACATTTATCAAAGTAAAGTTCCTCAATGACGAAATGCCTTGCAATGAAAAGTTTTTTTTTTCTATCTATCTATCTATCTATCTATCTATCTATCTATCTATCTATCCTTATATATATATATATATATATATATATATATATATATATTATTATTATTATTATTATTATTATTCCGAGTTAAGCGTTGTTTTCCTAACTGTCCTGTTCTTATCAAATTTTCCAATCACTCTTTCCTTTTATTTGCCCTAGAAATTTAAACTCTCTCTTTCAGTTGTTAAGTATAAGGATCCTTTTTGTTTCTATTTCCTTTAAAACTTCCTCATTGCTCACATGTTCAGTCCATAGTATTCTCAGCATCCGTCTATAGAACCACATTTCTCTTATTCTTTGTCACTGACTATGTATCTTGCTTTTCGTCTATTTTAATCTGTACATGGCTCTCCGATGTCCAATTTCGTGCTGTCATCTATTACACTACCCGCATTTTCACTACACTTCCAATCTTTGAATTTCAACATACAAATGCGTATGTATAGACACAACACCACACATATACATATGTCAAATCCGAAACTGTCCACATATGTTTATATATAGACTGATAGGACGGTAGTTAGTTAAACCAGACTTCCACATATGTTTATATATGTATGAGTCCCGACAGACAAGCAAGTGTGTATGTGTGTCTGTGTACCTCATCTGATGTACGGACATGCATCGATGTTTGCGTTAGCACGATGACATCACGACGACGATTCTCCCCACTCTCATAATAACACCAATACACGCAATCTACATGAATCCAAATTTTTTAAAAATTAATCAGGTGATCGCAAAAGCGTCAAACCCAGGGTTACAAACTCACATCAATCTAACCAAATATATATATACTTGATGCTGACAGTATCATGTTGAAACACTGGTTCTCAATAAATTACCGAAGTTAAGCAACGACGAACCTGGTCAGTATCAAGATGGCTGACCGCTTGGGATTACCAGATGTTGTAAGCTTGGATGTGCGGGTGGTGTAATAGATTACAGCACGAAATTGGACATCGGAGAGCCGAGTTCCAATTCCTGTCCGTTTCGTTTTATTCAATTACGCGCAAATATCATTGGAAAAGGTAAGAATCTAATTCTTCTCCCACCACCCAGCTACTGTTTAATTGGTAGGGCTTGAATCAGTACTTAATTCTTATCTTAAAAAGTCTTCAATGTAAAATATTTCTGACTTTAAATAACCTGAAACATGTCGATAAACTGTAAAACAAAACAATGAATGAATGAATGAATCTATCTATCTATCTATCTATCTATCTATCTATCTATCTATCTCGGTCCTTTTCATATCTATCTATCTATCTATCTATCTATCTATCTATCTATCTATCTATCTATCTATCTATCTCAGTCCTTTTCATATCTATCTATCTCAGTCCTTTTCATATCTATCTATCTATCTATCTATCTATCTATCTATCTATCTATCAGTCCTTTTCATATCGATCTATCTTAGTCCTTTTCATATCTATCTATCTATCTATCTATCTATCTATCTATCTATCTATCAGTCCTTTTCATATCGATCTATCTTAGTCCTTTTCATATCTATCTATCTATCTATCTATCTATCTATCTATCTATCTATCTCAATCCTTTTCATATCTATCTATCTATCTATCTATCTATCTATCCTATTCTGTTCATATTCTATCTGTGAGTATTTCTCTCTCTTATAATCCCTTTCTCCCCGTCTCTTTCTCTCTCTCTCTCTCTCTCTCTCTCTCTCTCTCTCTGTTGTATATATTTATCTTTATAAAAGCAGCTATAGATATAATTGTAATGTATTATTTTGGAAATAGCGTGGGCTGGTTTTTTTCGTAATTTTATTTAAAGACAAATGCAAATCACATGGAAAAGAAAAAAAAATGAAGAAAACATCTCCAAGTGGAGGAATCTGAATTCGTTTTCATTTTTCAAGAGGCAATAGGATCGATTGTCGATCAATGTTTTTATTTTTAATGAAAAATCTTCACAGCAAAAGGTATAACCTTTTTTGTGGCAAAACAAAAATGAATTTAATGAAAAAGGAAAACAGTTTTATTTTAGGCAGACGTGAATTTATTTTTATTGTTTTATTAAACAATTGACGAATATAGAGAATTAGCCTCAGAGAGAAGATATAAAAGAAATGCAAAGCTTAAGGGAGATCAAAGAAAGAAAGAAAGAAAGAAAGAAAGAAAGAAAGAAAGAAAGAAAGAAAAGGGACGGAAAGGAATACAGATTGGAAAAAAAAGAAAGAAAAGGAAAAGAATACAGTTTGGAAGAAAGAAAGAAAGAAAAGAAAGAAAGAATAGGGCGACTGAAATGCAAAGAAAAGAAAGGGAGAAGGCTGTGAAAGGGGAAAAGAAAAAGAAAGAAAGAAAGAAAGAAAGAAAAGAATAGAAAATACAAAGAAAGAAGGAGAGAGAAAAAAGGCGAAAAAGAAAGAAAAAAAGAAAGAAAGAAAGAATAGGTCGACTGAAATGCAAAGAGAAAAGAAGGGAGAGACTCAAAGAAAGGCGAAAAGAAAAAAGAAAGAAAGAAAGAAAGAATAGGTCGACTGAAAATACAAAGAGAAAAGAAGGGAGAGACTGTGAAAGGCGAAAAAAGAAAGAAAGAAAGAAAGAATAGGGTCGACTGAAATGCAAAGAGAAAGAAGGAGAGACTGTGTGAAAGGCGAAAAGAAAGAAAGAAAAGAAAGAAAAGGAAAGAAAAGAAAGAATAGGTCGACTGAAATACAAAGAAAAAGAAGGGAGAGACTGTGTGAAAGGCGAAAAAGAAAGAAAAAAGAAAGAATAGGTCGACGAAAAAAAGAAAAGAAGGGAGAGAGAAAGAAAAGAAAGAAAGAAAGAAAGAAAGAAAGAAAGAATAGGTCGACTGAAATACAAAGAGAAAGAAGGGAGAGACTGTGTGAAAGGCGAAAAGAAAGAAAGAAAGAAAGAATAGGTCGACTCAAATGCAAAGAGAAAGAAGGGAGAGACTGTGTGAAAGGCGAAGAGAAAGAAAGAAAGAAACAAACAAAGAAAAGGAATACAGATTTAAAAAAAGAAATCAAGAAAAGGTAAGAAAAGGAATATAGTTTGAAAGAAAGAAAGAAAGAAAGAAAGAAAGAAAGAAAGAAAGAAAGAAAGAAAGAATAGGCCGACTAAAATACAAAGAGAAAGAAGGGAGAGACTCTGTGAAAGGCGAAGAGAAAGAAAGAAAGAAAGAAAGAAAGAAAGAAAGAAAGAAAAGGAATACAGATTTAAAAAAAGAAATAAAGAAAAGGAAAGAAAAGGAATATAGTTTGAAAGAAAGAAAGAAAGAAAGAAAGAAAAGAAAGAAAGAAAGAAAGAAAAGGAAAGTAATACAGATTGGGAAGCAAAGAAAGGGAAATGGAAGAAAAACATGAAAGAATGAAGAGGGAAATGAGTAAAGAAGGAAAGAAGAAAGGGAAAAGTAGTATAGACTAAAGGAAGATAGGAAGGAAATAAAAAAAGAAGGGAGAAAGGAAACAAGGAAGGAACGAAGGAACGAGCGAAAAGAGTACAGACTGGATGAAGATAGGAAGGAAATAAGGAAGCAAGGGAAAGATGAATAAAGGAAGGAAGGAAGGACTACTGACAAGAAGATAGGAAGGAAAGAAAGAATGGAGGAAGAAAGGAAGGAAGGAAAGGAGTAGAGACTGGAGGAAGGAAGGAAGGAAGGAAGGAAGGAAGGAAGGAAGGAAGGAAGGAAGGAAGAGAAAAAAAGAAAAGGAACGAAAATGAAAAGGAGTACAGAATGAGAGAAGAAAGGAACGAAATAAAGAAGGAAAGGAGAGCGGAAGAAAGGAAGGAAAAATGGAAGAAATGCTATAAAGGAGGAAGGAAGATGTGGCGGAAAGAAAAATGGAAAAGAGGGAGCGTTAAAAAGAATATAAGGTAGGATGGTGGAAAGTAAAGTGGGGGTAGAGGAAATGAGAAAAAAACGAACGGAAGGAAGGAATGTGTATGTGAATTAATGCAAGTAACAGATTAAAATATGCGTGGGTGATGTAAGCTGACGAATGGAGGGTGGTGAAAAAAGCAAGAAAGAAAAGTGAAAGATTTACGTATTTTTTTTCCGTATAAGGGAAAAAGAATGAAGGAAAAGTTAATAAAAAACAAATTGATGGAAAATAAACAAAAAATGAAAATAAAAAGTGTAGATCAGAGAAAGAAAGATGGAAAGTAGATAGTTTAAAAGAAAAGGAAGAAAGAAAAAGTAATTAAGATCTTGAAATGAATAAATGTTTTGAATGACAGAAATGAAGAACAATTCTTGGGAATTCTCTCTGAATAAAAACAGAAAGAAAAAGGAAACAGTAAAGCAATAACAAAAAAGACAGACAAGAAAAAAAAAACGAAAGAAAAGAAGCTCATAAATTAATTAAAACCAAACTAAAATGAGTAAAAAAAGAATAAAAGAAAAAATGAAGTAAAAAGAATTATAGCAACAAAAAAAAGAAGTAAAAAGAATTATAGCAAAAAAAAGAAGTAAAAAGAATTATAGCAAAATTGAAATATAAAAAAGTTTTGAAAAAATAAATAAAATAAGAGAGAACAAGATCAAAGAAAGAAAGAAACAAAGAAGGAACGATAGAAAGAAATGTGAGAAAGAAAAACGTCTGAACAAAAGAGAGAAGAAGAAACAGAAGATTAAATAAATAAATAAATAAATAAAGAAAGAAAGAAAGAAAGAAAGAAAGAAAGAAAAGAGAAAGAAAGAAAGAATTGGCCGACAGAAATGCAAAGAGAAAGAAGGTACAGACTCTGTGAAAGGCAAAGACAAAGAAAGAAAGAAAGAAAGAAAGAAAAAAAGAAAGAAAGAAAGAAAGAAAGAAAGAAAAAAAGAAAGAAAGAAAGAAAAAAAGAAAGAAAGAAAGAAAGCTATATAAAAAAGAACGAAAGAATGACAAAAAGAAAAAAGTACTTCGTGTCTAACAAAAGAAAACTATGTGGGAAAATGAAAGTAAAGAAAAATAAAACAAATAGAAAGAAAATATAAAAGACAGAAGACAAGAAAAATAAAAGAAATAAAAATAAAAGTAATTCTAACAAAAAAAATCAAAAAGCAGAAAAAAGAAAAGAAAGCCATAAAAAAAAAATTTTCTTTGCCCTGGGGCAATTTTCAGGGAAAAAAATCGATAGGAATAAATTAATATAAATGCGAATATGTTTATTAATAAAACAAAATAAACAGAATATGACTGTAGTGAAACAAATGAAATATCGCAGAGAAAATTTTTATCCAAATTACAAACAAGCAACAAATAAATAAACTAAAAATGGACAATAACAGAAGAAAAAAAATCAGGAATGGTAATTGAAGCATTAAAGGACAAAGTCTATCTTTTGAATTATGCATCCAAAGAATTTTTCGCCTCATTCTGTCTCTTCCTTTGTTCTACGGGGAACACTGTTTGTAGAGATCTTTGCCCCGAAGATAATGAAACCTTATAAAATCTAAGAGAAATGTTTCATCAATTTTTCTTGTAAATTGAGTTTTGAATCAAACTTTCTCTCTCAATAATTTTTTTTTTATCACAAGAGAGAATATTTTTATGCAGATTTAAGAATATATGGAATATGAAAGCAAAAGAAAGAACGAAATAAAAAGAAAGAAAAAGAACGAAAGAGAAATAAAGAAGGAATACAGAAATAGAAACTAGTTTGCAAAGAAAGACAGAGTAAAAAAAAGCAAAAATAGAAAGAAAGAAATTATGCAAAGAAATAAACATGCAATGAAAGAAAGATCTAAATTGTATGTCTGAATAAAATTAAAAAAAAGATGGAAGAAAGAAAGAAAGAAAGAAAAAGAAAGATCGAATAAAAAGAAAAAAGAAAACTACAAAAGAAGTATATGTCTATATTTCTGAGATGAGGTATTATGTACACTATTTACATTATTCGGACTATTGTCCTCATCTATGTTTTTATATTTATTACAATGTTTCTATATTTCAATATCTGTCTATATTTCTGAGATGAGGTATTATGTACACTATTTACATTATTCGGACTATTGTCCTCATCTATGTTGCCATATTTATTAACAACGTTTCATTTTCAATATCTGTCTATATTTCTGAGATGAGGTTATTATGTAAACTATTTACATTATTCGGACTATTGTCCTCATCTTTGTTGCTATTTATTACAATTCTTTCAAATTTTTATTGCTGATATCTCCAGCTATATTTTGATTCGTGATTTTTTTCGACAATTTTTTATTACAACGTTTCGGATATTATTTTATATTATTCGGACTTATTGAATCCTCATCTATGTTGCCATATTTAATACAATGTTTCAGCCTTTCAGTATCTGTCTATATTTCTGAGATGAGGTATTATGTACACTATTTACATTATTCGGACTATTGTCCTCATCTTTGTTGCCATATTTTATCAAAAGTTTCGTCCTTTCAGTTTCTGTCTATATTTCTGAGATGAGGTATTATATACACTATTTAAATTATTCGGACTATTGTCCTCATCTTTGTCGCCATATTTATTACAACGTTTCGGTCGTTGTACGCTCCGGCCTTCTTTGGTAGTTGGATATATGCCTTGGTTAGATCCAGTAAGAGGACCCAAAGAGTGTGAGTTCAATACACGGTTAAAGCAGTGACGAAAATAACAGGAAATAACTGATAACTGACATCCATTAAAACATGACATGTGGAACTAGAACAGTCTACCCCAGTGAGCGAAATAAATGGTTCAGTTCGACATTCCAACCACCTGAATTTTACGTAAGAATTTCTATGGAGACAAAGATGAGAAAAATAGTCCGGATAATGTAAATAATGTGCAAAAGATGTACTTAAAGAAAGGAGAGAAAGAACATGTTGCGTCAATTGAAGAAACAGAATAAAGAGACACAAAGAGAGAAAGCAAGGACGCGAAAAGGGCAAGTCCTGAAAATAATCAGAGTAAAGAAAAGAGTAAAATCAAACAAAACAGAAATCTGAATAAATATTTTGTCAGGAATCTTGTTTAAAAATAAAGAATCTTTTACAGAAGAAAAAGGCAAAAAAAAAAAAAAAAAGAAAATCAAAAAAATTTGTTTAAATTGAGCGAGAAAGATTTTGCTTTTTAAAAACAAGCAAAATTAACGGAAAATAAATGAATTAAAGAACAATACCGTACACAATATAGAAGTGGGATAGATGCAAGCCTAGATATCAGATTTCAAATCCATGTAAATCCACTATTGCAAAATCATTTTTTATCCTAACACCCTTTTATTTCTTTGCCTGACGTCAGACAATGATTTCTTGCCTTATTACTTATTTTTTAATCCACAATGCTGAAAGAAAAGGATACAAAATCTTTAAAAACAAAACACCAGCAACAACTACAACAATAATAATAATAATAATAATAATAATAACAATAATACATTAGAAAAAATAGATATATGATATTATATAACAACTCCAGAACACCTACTATTATAAATCACAATCATTTCTTGCTTTATTTCTAAGACTGAGCTTTCTAAATATTTTGAATCTACAATATAAATAAAAGAAAAACCCAAAGGAAAACTTTTTTTTCTATGCCAAATCGTTCCTTTCCTTGAGGTACTTTATCATGGCAAGGGTGCGTTTTAAAAAATTCCAATAAAACAGAAAAAAACAACTCCGGAAATAAAAATAGAATTTAGAGAGATTGTAAGTATGAGAATGTGGGACGAATGTTAGAGCTAAAGAGAGGGGTAACAGACGAGAGAAGGTGAGAGACTAAAACTTTTTTTTTTTTTTTTTTGAATTTGTAGGTCTGATGAATTGGATCGTATTTACGATTCCAATGGAATAAATTATGACCACTCTGTATTAGTTTTTAAAAACTTTTTTTATTATATCCTTAATCTGTCCTGGACATTGAGTTCTACCTGGATTCTATCCTCTCTGACTTTTTTATTAAAAAATATATATGTATGTGTATGTATCTATGTATATATATTTATATATTTTGCATATGTATGTGTATATTTACCAATAATATCTATCTATCTATCTATCTATATATATATATATATATATATATATATATATATATATATATATATATTTGTCATGGCAGAAAACCATGATGCCATTTCTAACCTTAGGTCTCTGAGCGGGACCCACCTAAGAAACAAATATCTACGAAATCAAAGAAATAATAATAATAATAATAATAATAATAATAATGATTTTCGTACAATGCTCTGCCCTTTGACTATCATGTCTTTGAGTGAAAATTTAAAAATATATCTTTTAGCGTCTAGTAGGCTGAGAGATGACCGGAAATGTATAACTTTTATTCCCTTGCTTCTACCCCTTTGTTTGATGAATTCTTTGATATCCCCCCTACCAATCTGTAGTATAAGTCCAGCTTACCCCATAAAATTTGATAAGTATCTGTCGTTGACGACGGAAAATTGAACATTTGTGGAAGGTCACTTTTACCATGCTCCGAAGTAGTAAGAAATGGTAAATGTAGCATTTATTTATTTATTTTTTGAATGATACTTTTCAGTAGTTTGGAAAATTGTAAATTCTTTTAGAGATCAAGCTTTTTATTTCCCTTTCAGATCCCTCTTTTTTTTTTTTTTTTATGTATATTTCAATTTTTCTGTCCCCACCTGACCTTAAGCGGACATCCGTGTCCATTTTTCACTTTCTTTTTCACTTTTTTCTCTTTACTTTAAAGCATCCAAAATCTCTGTCGCTGCGTATATGTACATGTCTACTAATATCTGTCTCTCTCTCAAACATTGTATGTATATATATATATATATATATATACGTTAAGTATATAATTTGCATGTGTATGTATCCGCATTGACAGGGATCATATTGTATTTATTTTTATCCCTTTTTTTTTCTTAAGTCTATATACTAAAATCTATTTATCCCCCTTGGAGTGGTCACTCGGACTTATACTAAGTTAAAACTGAGTATCGTCTACCCCACTGAATACCATACGCTCTTATGAACTATTCTACCTTCGTTATGTTAATAAATCCACAATCTCATTGTTTGGGCGTGCTCTTGGATCTTCTTTGAGACTCGTCCTAAAGCTGGTAACCTGAACATAATTACCCCTTGGCGGTCAAGGTTAAAACGCATCTCTACCAATTTCAATGAATACGAATAATATTTCATACCGGATCGGCCGTCAACCGGGACAACAAGGGCCGCGTCCCTCAGAGAGGAACCAGTCTGAGGACGAAAAGTCTGTCAGTGGAACAAACTCTTCCACACGCGAAGAGACACTTGGTCACCAAAACCGGATTATTGCCAACCTTGGACCAAGTGACTACCAAATCGACTAATAAAAAGTAAACGAACGAAATGGAGTCGCGAAGAGTATCGACATGTCATGACATCCTTCTTCACTACATTCGAAAACCCAGCAAAGAACACCACCAATCAAACATACCAAATATGGAGAAGTACGGTGGGAAATGATATAAGACCTAACCTCAATCCAAACATGCTTGCCAATGTCCGTAGGGATATCATGCGAAACAACAGACTCTCAAAGGCAGAAATAGATAAGATGAAATTAGATATAAGACAAAATACTATGACCCATCACTCAAACTCTATTGAGATGAATGTAGAAATAAGGAATGCAACAGAGGATGAGGTGGACGCTAAAGCGAATGAAATACGAAATAATCTCCCAGGAAATGAAACCCAAGACTCTACCTTAAACACAACCTACAGTCCTCCAGAAACTGTACCTGGAGTCATCTTCAGTGACAATAAGTTACAATTCCTTGAAAACCACGAAGCTGAAATCACCGAAGCGAAAAATGACGTCATCCAAGTACTCAGCAGAGTAACATTCATACAATTCAGACAGAGAACAGCTCCCGAAAATCCATATGACGAACTCCAACAGGCGCATCGTGAAAATATACAATGCTGCTCTGGAAACACTGTTAACAGATAAACCACCGGGAAACATCACAGAAGTTAACAACGTCATATACGCCACATCTTTAGCAGCGACTCGGAAGCTTGGAGTCAAGACAATAAATAAAATTAACAGACACAGAGAACCAGCTTGGAAAACCAAACTGATTCGAAAATACAACAAATCAGATGTGAGCTTTCTATATTAGATGAGCTCACCAGAAACCCTAATATTTCCACACGTAAATTCAAAAAAAGATCAAGCGGAAATATAACATTAAATCCCTAATTGATATTCCACCAATCAAGGAAATGCTGAAGCAGAAACTTCAGCTAAAGGCGCAGAGAACAAGACGATACGAAAAAACGTTGTAGGTTCTATCGCCAAAATAAAATATTCCGAACAGATCTTAAGAAATTTTACAGGGAAATTGGAAAAACACCTATACATGTCGAAAGGCCACCATCGATTGATAATGTACAGACATTTTTAGAAAATATTTGGAGCAGCCCAAAGGAATATAACCCAAATGCAGAATGGATACGGCGTGAAGAAGAACGAATGCTGGATACACCTCTGCAAGAATGGGAAAATATATCCACAGATGATGTTAGGCAAGCTCTAACGAAATCCCAAAAATGGAAATCCCCAGAAAGTGACAAGTTGCCCAATTTCTGGCTGTATCATCTCACATCTACGCATGAAATTCTTGCAAAAACATTATCAACGCTTGTAAATAATCCCAATAAAATCCCGGAATGGATTACTGAAGGTATGACATACCTCATACCAAAAACAACTGAAACAGACGACCCGAAAAATTATAGACCGATAACATGTCTCTCCACAACGTAAAAGTTGATCACGTCTGTACTGACGAACCGTACTTTCGAAACAAACAGCACTCTCCCGCTGGAACAGAAGGGATGCAGAAGAGGTTCATATGGCTGCAAAGATCAACTTCTGATAAATAAAATGATCCTGGAAAATTGCAGGCGACGACGCAGGAATCTAAGTGCAGCGTGGATTGATTATCGTAAACCCTTTGATAGTGTTCCACATTCTTGGATCCTTAAGACTTTGGAAATGTACAAAGTCTCCCCTGTGGTATTAAATTTCCTTAAGCACAGCATGGGAATGTGGAACACCAAACTATACCTTAGTCACACCGGTGGAACTGCCATATCCAACCGTCTGAATATCCGACGTGGAATCCTTCAAGGAGATTCTGTCACCCCTTCTGTTTTGTTTATCCTTAATCCCTCTTACACATGAACTGAACAACAGTAGCTATGGTTACAAAATAAATAAGAAAATATTCAATCACCTACTCTACATGGATGATCTCAAACTCTTTGCCAAAGACGACAATGAGTTGAAAGGCCTCCTCAATATTGTGAAATACTTCAGTGACGACATAGGTATGGACTTCGGATTAGATAAATGTGCAAAAGTAACATTCAAGAAAGGTAGAATTACAGAAACACCCTTAATAGATTTAGATTTTGTCACAAAGATTAGGGAACTGGAACATGGTGAAGCTTATAAGTACCTAGGAATTAGCGAAGGAGATGGCATACAACACCTCCAAATGAAGGAAAAAATAAGAAAAGAGTACTACAGGCGTGTACGTCTGGTATTAAATACTGAGCTAAACTCAAAAAACAGGATATCAGCCATAAACACATTGGCTGTCCCTGTGGTTCTGTGACGTCCTGGTCGCGGCGCCAGCTGTGACGTCCCTAAACACAGCCTTCGCTCGCTGCTTCGTTCGGGTGTCGCCGCTCCAAACGTGACGTCCGCCTGTCGCGTCAGTCGTGTTGTCTCGTCCTATGACGACCAACTGGCTTGGTATCGGTCGCGGCACCCAAATGTGACGTTCTAACCTTTTGGTGATTCGGATGGGAATCTGGTTAGATTCGATATCAGCCTCGTCGTTCCCAATTCGCTTCCAACGCCTGGTTACTAAGGAACTGCATTGATCTCCAGTCTGCCTACCCACACTGTGAATTGATCTTAGACAGACGAAATCAATCAGTAGTTGGGGCCGTAATGCAAATCGGGTTCAAACGGGGGTGACGCCGCACAAATATGCATAAAAGAAAAGAAAATGATGACTCAAAAATTCAAGGTATCAAAAAAAAGGATAACAAACTTTATGTCTAGTTATTAGATACATAGGACTGCGTCTATCTCCCGACCCGTTCTATGGATTGTGACACGTTGTTTTCCGTTAGGCGAGTTTTGACGCTTCAAGTTGTTTGCTCTTTAAGAAATTGGTTTTTCGGTGTGTCTTCGGGCGAAAGTCGAAAAAAAACTTATTTTGGTGGTCTGGATCTAAGTCGCTCTTCAAAATAATTGTTCTTGGATTGAAGAGGAGTCCGGAATTTGCGCGAATCTTGCAAGTCAGCTATCTGTGAGGCGGGTCTTCAGAGCTCTCAGCTCACTGCAACTAACTGGAACTTAACTCGAACTGAAATTATTTTACCCCGGTCTCATCTGGACATCGTCAGTCAGATTATCGCTAATTATCAGAATGGGTGGTCTATTTAACACGGCCAGACCGTCGCCTCGAAAAGAAACATTTCTAGGTTTCCATTCATTCTTTGCTACACATTTCTGATAACATAGTTTTATTATCGCAGGCTAAAGATGTTCTGTCGAAAGAAAACGCTCAGTGGCCACCTCGTGTGCGGCTTTGACACAATTAATTTTTCATATCTATCCAAAGCCCTGTAGTCCACCTGTTTTTTGTCAATTATCAAAATAACATTTTCAATTGGACTTTTCTTTGGCCAGTCGGTCTGGGGTTTGCTTAATCAGATGCTTTCCCGCATTAGTGGTTTGTTTATGTATCCCCGATAACACAGCCCGTCGCCAGAACACACCTGATTCCCTTATCCACTTAGAATTTTTTGCCATTGTAATGACACTCTTCGCCATTTGTTATTCATCAAAATATCCTTTATCCATTGTCTCTTAGCCGTGGGTGTTCTACTTATCATCCACGCTTTTCCTTTCTTTTCTTTTTCTCTTTCTTTTCTTTTCTTTTTTTTTTTTGCCTTGGAAAATGGTGTCACAGTGCAATACAGCTTTAATGTCCTTAACTGGACCATAGCTGAAATTAAGCGAATGGATGCCAAAACGAGAAAGCTACTCACTTGCTATCGCATGTCGATCGTCTGTATGTGCCCAGATCCGAAGGAGGCAGAGGATTAGTTCAACTAGTACTGTCCTACAACTACAACAATTGGCCTCCAAAGATATTTGGAAACTACAGAAGACTGGATGATGGTATGCGTCAAGGAACATGAAAGTAGTAAGCGTCTCTACTCCGTAATGAAAGAAGCCAACAAATTCAAAATGGAGTTTCAAATGGGCGTAGAGATGCAACTACAGCACAATACACCGGCTGAAACTGCAAAATACCTAAAAAAGACAGCAAAGACGAATGCAACCGACCAGTTACAGAAGCGATGGCAAGATAAACCGCTTCATGGCCAATACTCTGCCCGTACCAAACAAGCTGGCCTAGAAAAAACCCGTACCCATCAGTGGCTACGTAGTGCAGAGTTGAAAGCGGAAACTGATGGTTTTATCCTTGCTGCGCAGGACCAATGCTTGCTAACTAGGAATTATCAAGCACATATACTAAAATATTGTGTCAGCCCAAAATGCAGATTCTGTGATAAATATCCAGAAACGATTTATCATCTTGTATCAGGTTGCACGGTGTTGGCACCCA